AACAACCTTGAAAGGTAGGTGGTCTTATTATCCTCATTTTACAGAATTTTGAAATAAGGCAGAGTTAAGTAACACTCCATGCTTAGCAAAATGAAGTCCAAAAAAAGTTAAAACCAGGTACAATCAGCAGGTAAGGAAATTTAAAACAATCAAAAGGGAGGTTCCCTGGGATGTCAGGAGTTTCTCACCAATGCTGGTTTTTTGTTTTTTAAATATTCTCCATGCTCCAAAAAGTCCCTAAATGGGTCCCAAATCAGTCCACGTGGGACGAAACTTAACTGAAACTGCTCCAGGTCTGCTGTATAATATCTCCTTTGCTCACAACAGCCCTTGTTGCTATTGTGGGAATGGGAGAGTTTAACTCCACTGTCCTGGGCTTCATCAGGGACTGTGCTTCCAATGAGAGATCTTTATAGATGAAGTAATAAAGGTCTTTTGTTTTACAGATGAAGAGGTCAGACAGGTGAGGTAACTTGTCCAAGGTTCCACAGAGGAGTGGGTTAGAACACCATTCCCAATTAACTCTTATCATTTGAAATTTGAGTGGTTCATCAATGCAGGTCCATGTCAAAGGAGCTGTATGGCATGAACATTTCTCCCACTGCCTCCAATTCCTTTATCATGTCAGCTTAGCATTTGTCTCCCATTATCTTCATGATCAATCACTTGTGCCACATTCTCTGCCCATCTGTCTATGGGAACAAGGCCTCATATATGTTCCTAACTCCTCTTGCTGGTGCCCTGTACAATCTCTTCTTCTCCTTCTTCTATCTAGCAGGGCATGAAAGAAGGACTGAGGGAGGAAAGGAGGTATGACTCCCCACTGAGCATACATACTGGGACCCACGGTTACTGGACATGTTCTGAGCTATAAAGATGCTGTCCTTGTTTCTCACCTCCTGCTACTGTGCTGAAGTAAGCCCTGGGTATAGGGATGTTTTCAGATGTTCCAAGGAAGCTACTTGAATTCTCCCTAGGGCCAGATGGAGGAAGAAGAATTTGGGGAAAGCTGGATTGACATATTAAAAAAAAATTGTGGCCAACCTGAAACTAAATTCACAGAAGCACATAATGTGAGACTTAGAAAGGACTTTGTGGGCTATCTACTTCAAATCATGTTTGAAAATGAATTTCCTTCATGACATATCATTAAACGTGCCTATCAAGTTTCCAATGAGGGCAGAACCCTAACTGCCTCTGATTCAGGAAGCCCAATTCTACTTTCAGATAGGTCTAATGCTGAGTTTTCTTACCTCAAACCTAAATTTGCCTGACTGCAATTTTGACCAATTATTCCTAATCCCACCTTCTGAAGCCAAAATAAGGAGTTCTAATCCTTCTTGCATGGGGTAGCCTTTAAAACCAACCAAATAATAAGTTATTAGGTATCTACTGTGCACCAGGCACTGAGTTCAACAAAGGTGACAAGGGCAAAGAATGACAGTCCTGCTTTCCAAAAAGCTTACACACAAATGTATGTATCTACACACACACACACACACACACACACACACACACACACACACACACACAGAAACAAATATTTGTTGTTGTTCTGTCATTTGAGTTATGTTTGACTCTTTGTGACCCCATTTGGGGTTTTCTTGACAAAGATATTGGAGTGGTTTGCCATTTCTTTCTCCAGCTGAATTTACAGACAGGAAAACTGAAAAAACAGGGTTAAGTGACTTGCCAGAATCACAGCCAGTGATTGCCTGAGGCCATGTTTGAACTCAGTAAGATAAGTCTTACTGACTCCAGGCCTAGCACTCTATCCATCACATCACCTTGATGCCCCTAATATAATGCTGGTCTACATATATTCCAGCTCAGGAGGTCTAGACATGCTCTAGACTCTCATTAGAGATTTTTTTCTAGTTTAAAATTTTATTTCTGTTTTTAGCAATTACTTTTTTCTTCTCCTTATGGAACAAAAAAGACAAGAGAAGTATAAACCCTCATAACACATGCACACACACACGCACACACACACAGAGTCCAACAAAATAAATGGCCACATTGGTTACACCTTAAAATGTAAGTTTCATTCTGTACTTTAAATCCATCACCTCTCCAGAAAGAGATGGGCAGCATACTTACCTTCAGTCTTCTGGAATCATGGTTTGCCTGGACTAGGACAATCATTTACAGAACAGTTGTCCATCTTGATGAGGGCAGGTAACCTCCACACTGTGAATTCCCCATAAGGATGAAATCACAGGTAAAGAACAAAGCAGACAGGCAGTTTTAAAATCATAGGTCAGACCATGTCATTCTGTTCCAGGGCTTCAGCAGCTTTTTGACTGGGCAGCTAGCTGCTACAGTGGCAATTGTGCCAGGCTAGGAGTCAGGAAAACTCATCTTCTTGAGTTCACAATCTGGCCTCCAACACTTACTAAGTGTGTGACCTGGGCAAGTCACTTCACCCTCTCTGCTTCTGTTTCCTCTTCAGTAAAATGACCGAGAGAAGGAAATAGCAAGCCACTCCAGTATCTTTTCCATGAAAAGCCCAAATGGGCTCACAGTCAGACACAACTGAAAAATGACTGAACAACAAAAAGCCTTCCAACTGACTCTAGGAAAAAACACTAACTGCTGAATTAAAGCTCACCACAGTGTGACTTCAGCCTGTCTTTACAAGCTGATTACATATTGCCTGCCCACCAGGATGAGACAAGATGCCTCAACATCACTGAAGAGGAGCTGGAAGAGGATAACAGCTCCAGATGCTGATCTTGAGCGGACATCTACGGTTGAGGGAATGGGCACACCGGACAAACTGGGTTTGTAATTGGTAGATCATCCCCAACTCTTTGAAGCAGAACAGACCAGCTGACTACCTTCTAAGATTACCTGAGTGGCTGCAGAGTCAACTTCTAGCTGCTGTGTACATGAGTCACTCACTAAAACCTACCACCCTACAGCCCAAGACTGAACCTCTGCAAACTGGCTGGCATTGGACTTTGCACCAATCTGGCTAGAATTGGCAGCACATTACTGGGGATCAAGCAGGCAGAAATCTTAGGCTTTTCCTCTCTGCTGCAGAAAAATCCAGGTCTCAAGAGTACAATAATATGATATTATGAGGGATTTCAAATCCTTTTCCCTCATCATTTAAAAAAATATTATTTATGTTAAACATTCTTTTTTAAATCGAATTCTAAATTCTCCCTCAGTCACTGAGAAGACAAGGAATATATCAATTATACGTGTGAAATCACACAAAACATATTTCTATGTTTTAGCCATGTTAGCCATGGCATAAAAAAGCAAGAAAATTAAAAAGTAAAAAAACATACTTCAATTCATACTAAATTTGTCAGTTCTCTCTGGAGGTAGACAGCAATTTTTTTTTTATCATCAATCCTCTGGAATGGTCTTATTTTCTTGATCAGAGTAAGTCATTCACAGCCGATTGCGTAATCATCATTAAAATTTTGTTGTTATTCTATACAAGGAGCTCCTGGTTCTGCTTACTTAACTCTGCATCTATTCACATAGGTCTTCCTAGGTTTGGCCAAACCATTTCCCTCGTTTCTTAGAGCACAACATTCCGTCACAATCATATACAACCACCTCTTCAGCCATTCAGGAACTGATGATCATCCCCTCAATTTCCAATTCTTTGCCACCACAAAAAAGCCCACTATAAATATTTTTCTACATGTAGGTCCCTTTCCTTTTATGTGCGTGGAATACAGACCTAGCTGTGGTATTGCTGTGTCAAAGGGTATTTACAGCTTTATCATTATTTTGACACAGTTCCAAATTGTTCTGCAGAATGGTTGGACCAGTCCTGAATTGTGCAAAGTGCAAGAATTTTTCCATATTCCCTCCAGAATTTGTCATTTTCCTTTTCTGTCACGTTGGCCAGTCTGAGGTATTATGAGGTATTACCTCAAAGTTGTTTTCATCTGCATTTCTCTAACAGATTTAGTAATTTAGAGCACTCTTTCATTATTATTGATAACTTTAATTTCTTCATTGAAAACTCCTTGTTTATATTCCCTACCCATAATGGGAATCTTATTTATCTTTTCATGTGTGTCACTAACTGGATGACAAGGCACTGGCTACCATAAGAAGGTCACAGTCAAACCTGCTGTTTACCTGCATTTCAGTAAATTTCTTCCCTTTAACATTCAGAGCACTGGGCAGAAATCCCATTGCATCAAAATCTGCCACAGCCCCTGGGATGCTTTATTTTAATTAAGATGATTACAAGTCTTTATGGTCCACACTGGCTACCAAAATGAACATGAGCAGAAGCAGCACCAGCAAAATCAGGAACAAAGCTCATTATGATTCATCATATTACGATTTATTCCTCAAGCACCATCAACGATTACACCTTATATCTCACACCACCAAGAGCACTATGTTAGCTGATTTTGTCGGAGTTTTTTTTTCTTCTTCAATGGAACTCAATGGGTTGGTTGAAGGGACATATAGGACTTTTTTGTTTCTTTTTATTGTTTTTTTTTTTAGGTGGCAGGAGAAGGAGAAATTACATTTTTTTCCAAAAATATCCACAAAACTTAAGAAAACAATTCAAAACAAGTTCAAACTCTCTTTGGAAAAAAAGTAGGCATGCTAGGAAGACCTCAAAGATAGTACAAAAGATCACTGGAAGGATACTCTGCATTATGGTAAAATGGATTACTGAGTAGGACTCGAGAAAAAATAGTTCGTTTGACTTACTGACTACTTAGGCAGTGGGAACACTGCATGATGAACCCTACATTGGGATTAAAAAGAATATCTTGGATTTGAGGTAACAGAGAGGGGAGGATACATTCTCAAGGATAACAACAAATTAAGAAATCAATTTCCAGGCATACTAAGCCTGGACCTTTTTCCTGGAAACAGGTAGCACAAGTAATCTGTCTCTTGGCTACAAATGGATTAGGAAGAGTTTCCTTTTCTATACCAAAGAATAACTGTTAAAATCTTGCTCTCACAGTATATATCAAGACTCCAAAGGGGGTAACTGTTCTTACCCAAAGACAGCAGGTTCCTATAGTTCTCCAGCACCACATCCCTGTACAATTTTTTCTGAGATGGGTTCAATTGTACCCACTCTTCCTTGCTGAATTCCACAGCCACATCTTTGAGTGTCACTGATTCCTGAAATACCAAAAGCATTTGTGCTTACCCAGCCATAGCTCTTAACTGTTATGAAGTTCAAATATAAACTACTTGCTATTAAGGTGAGGGAATTGAGGGTTTTAGGACAGCAAGTAGTACAGGGAATTGAGGCAACTGAGTCAACCACATTGACTCCATTTTGTGACTCAATTCTGGAGGTAGCTCAGTTCTTTTTCTGTTTAATTATACATCTAGTCCAACTTCTGTATTGTGAGAAAAACTAATTCAATTGTGGGAATTGGGAGAAAACCTTACTGCATTGTTTGAATTTAGCCTTGCATGGCTGAGAAATGAGACCTACTTTACCTCCTGTTTAGTCCTTAAGGACCTAGATTATGCTATCAGAAATCCATTCAAATGCAAAAAGACTGATGTAAGGAGTTTTCTCACAATTGTACATCTGAAGCAACCCATAAGTTTTATCTGAAAGCTGGCCACATACTGAACAATTAATTACTGTTCCCATGTTGCTTTCATTGTATACTACTTTCAGGGAGTGGGACACCTAATTCTGAATTTAAGGAACTGAACCTGTTGCCTTTACCCCTCCCAACATGAAAAGTCCCCAGTCGTTTCTCCAATCAGCAATCAGATTACCTAACATTTTATTATTTGCTTTTAATTAATTGCTCTTTGATTGTTTTTAATTTAGATCCAGCCTAAGATGAGGAAGGGGCCTGGTCCCAGTTTTCTGTGCAATTGCCATACATTGCTTAATATACTGATATGTCCAAAAGATTGAACCTTTCTTTCTTCAGCCATTTCATCTTTCACTTGCCATGAGGATTTCTTTCATTTATTTATTTGCATCCCAGTACACTGTCTAGTATATAGCAGGCACTTAAGAATTCCTCTCCCAAAAACAACTAATACAAGTGTGTATAGACTGATTTTACATACACACACACACACACACACAGATACACGCACACATACAGATATTTGTATCTAATGGTAGCCACCTCTAGAGTTGGGGGGGAGGGAAGGGAGAAAAATTTATATGGAATTTCATTATATATTTAAAAGGAATACCAAGTTTAAATAATAGATTTTTAGTTTCCCATACAATCGTCTTTTTTTTATTATACACGTATTGGAAATGCTTGTTTTACTCCATAAATTAAAAATTAAACAAATAAAAATTAAAAAAAAGGATTCTTCTCTGATTAGTCTGTAAATTCCTTAAGGAAGGAGCTATTATTGCCATCCTTGGTATCCTTGGCACTCAGCACAGTGCCTGGTGGCAGGTAGGTATTTAACAAATGCTTTATTGTTGTAAATGGTTCCAATGACATCAATTTTAAACTTGTCCTTTATTCTTTTTTTTTAGATTGAACACCTGTGCCTCCTACTTCTACCCTCTGAGCTGAAGGAGAAATATGGCTAATTTGTTTTCTATTTGCTGAAATAAACAATGAAAATGAAATAGCTGAAGATAGCTATCATGCAGTCCGAAGTATTCACTTCCAATCTAAACAAGCCCAGTTTCTCTGACCAATCAGCCTGGTCTCTTCACAAGTAAGACAGTTACCTTCCTCTTTTCATCCAATCACTCTGCTTCTTAAAATGTGCTGCTCTGATTCTTCTTTGCCTATTCTAATGCCTTCAATTTCTTTTTCTCCTCTTATTGCTAAAGCGAAGGTTTCCAGTACAATATTGAATAGCACTGGTGATAATGGATATCCTTGTTTTACCCCCGATCTTATTGGAAATGCTTCTAGCCTGTCCCCATTATATATAATGCTTGCTGAAGGTTTTAGATATATGCTATTTATTATTTTAAGGAAGAGTCCATTTATACCTAATGCTTTCTAGTGTTTTTAGTAGGAATGGGTGTTGTATTTTACCAAAAGCTTTTTCTGCATCTATTGAGAAGATCATGTGCTTTCTGTTGGTTTTGGTGTTGATATGCTCAATTATGCCGATAGTTTTCCTAATAGTGAATCAACCCTGCATTCCTGGTATAAATCCTACCTGGTCATACTGTATTATTCTTGTGATAAGTTGATGCAATCTATTTGCTAGTATTTTGTTTAAAATTTTTGCATCTATATTCATTAGAGAAATTGGTCTATATTTTTCTTTCTCTATTTTGATTCTTCCTGGTTTAGGTATCAACAGCATATTTGTATCATAAACAAAATTTGGTAAGACTCCTTCTTCACCTATTTTCCCAAATAGTCTATATAGTATTGGAATTAATTGTTCTTTACATGTTTGATAGAATTCGTGAGCACAACCAAGAGGACTCTACACAGTAACAACCACGTTATGCAATGACTAAGATTGTTAAACTGAACCCTTCTGAGCATTACAAAGATCTAAGACATCTCCAGAGCCCTTGGGATAGAAAATACAGTCCACATCCAAAGAAAGAACTATGGAAGTAGCTGAATCGCTATCACTTATTTTTACCTCCTGTTGAGTTTTGTTTCATCGTTCTGATGGTTCCTCCTATTGGTTTTAATTTTTACTCACAACTTCACTAATGTGAAAATATGTACCATGGGTATGTAAATGTAAAGCCTATATCAGATTGTGCGCCATCATGGGGAGGGTGGGGAGGAGGAAAGGGGAGAAAAATTTTCAACTCAAAAGCATATGGAAGCGATTGTTGATAAATCCAAATAAATTAATAAAATTTTAAAAAGAAAAGTGCTGCTCTGAAATGAACACCATTGTGTTCCACGCTCCTGGAACCACAAGAGCAAAGGAGAGCATGGGGAACTACAATCTCCTGTCTGTAACAACATGTGACCAATTTTTCACTATTGAAGAGGGTGTTCAAGGACCATTACTTTCCAATTCATGTATTTAGAGAGGGAAGAAACTTAAGAATCCAATTTTCTCATTTTACAAATTAGGGAAATGAAGCCCTCAGACGGAAAGTTGAGTTAAGGTCAAAAGGGGAGTAACCGGTGGTCTATTCTTAATGTACAATACTGCCATTTCCTTTCAGTATAACCAGACCAAGGCCACAATTCAGTTTTTGGACAAAAACATTCATAAGATCACTCTTTGGGGCAGCAAAGAACTGGAAACAAGCTGAATTCTCAACACTAAAGAAGAGCTAGAAAAAAATTGCATATGAATAACAGTCATTTATAGAGTTAAAAATGACAAAAAGAAGCAATTCTGAGAAGCATTTGAAGATATGCATTAACTGACAGTGCAAAATTAGCAGACCCAATAAAATATAATACACAAAAACTTCAAAAATATAAATAATAAAAAGAAGATCCTGAACTATGAAAAAAAAATAGTCCATGTGAACATTTGGGGTGGATTCTCTAAATTTAATCATCTCATATTTCTTCTGAGCTACTTCCATTCTGCTCTGCTCATAGAATATAGCATCCTCTCTGACGAGGGCACGCCATGATGGGCAGTCCTGTACCAGTGTCTCCCAAGTCACATATCCCTTTCCAAAGTTCTTAAAAGACACCTTGAGAGTCCTTTCTGTTAGAGCAAAGTATTAGGAACAAAGGGATACCCATCAACTGGAAAATACCTGATCATTTCATGAAGTGGAAATCTTGAAAACGATACTTTCAAAGAAAATAGGAAGACTTGCACAAAGTAATGAAGGGAGAAAACAGCAGAACTAAGAAAACAATTTACAAATGACAATACCATTCACTGATCAGCCATGATTCCAGAGAACTGATGATGAAACCTGCTATGTAAATTCTGACAGAAAAGTGGTGACAAACTTGTTTATTTATTTTACATGACTATGCTTACTGGCTATAAATGCACTGTGTTTTTCTTTTTTTTACTGGAGGTGCAAGGAGACGGTAGCATTTAAAAGGAAGAGAGCTAGAGATACTGTTGTCAGAATAAAAGAAAAAGATGCACAGAAGAGAACAGAGGGAAGTTGGAAAAGAAAAAGAGGACAGTTTTAAAAGTCACATGCTGAATTTATTAGACGAAAACAACCAAACAATCTATACCCAAGCCTCAAAGAAACATAGTTTAGAGAAAAGCCCAACAAGAATTGATGGAGTTGTGAAGTGATTCAACCATTCTGGAGAGCAATTTGGAACTATGCCCAAAGGGCTATAAAACTGCCCAGTTTTTAATCCAGCAATAGCATTACTAGGTCTGTATCCCAAAGAGATTATAAGAAGGGCAAAGGGACCCACATGTACAAAAACATATATATATAGCAGCTCTTTTTCTGGTGGCAAAGAATTGGAAATTGAAAGGATGCCTGTCAATTAGGGAATGGCTGAACAACTTCTGGTTTCTGAATGTAACAGAATACAATTGTGCTATAAGAAATAATGAGCAGGCAGATTTCAGAATAACAGAGGAAGACTTACATGAACTAAGGCTGAGTGAAGTGAGCAGAACTAGGAGAACATTATACAAAGCAACAGCAAAATTGTGTAATGATCGACTTTGACAGACTTGGCTCTTCTCAGCAACACAATAATGTAAGACAATTACAAAAGACTCATGAGGAGAAATGCTATCTATATCCAAACAAAGAACTATGAAGACTGAATTCAGAGCAAGCACACTATTTCCACTTTTTATTCTTTCACATTTTGTTCTTTCTCATGCCTTTTTCCAGGCTGTTCTGATTCTTCTCTCACAACAATTATGTTCAATATGAGTGTATACATAGAACCTACATCTGATTGCTTGCCATGTAGGAAAAAGAGAAGGAAACACTGGGAGAGAAAAAAAAATTTGGAACTCAAAATCAAAAGTGAATGTTGAAAACTATCTTTATGTGTAATTAGAAAAAAATAAAATACTATTAAGTCGAAAAATAAAATACAATTTTCAAAAGTCTTTATATCTCTTTCTCCAATTGGCTAACTCTCTTTTAATAATTTTTTCAATTGCTTTTAGTTTTTTTCCCAATTTTATCCTCAGTCTCTCTCATTTGATTTTTGAGTTCCATTTTAAGTTCACTGAAGAATTCTTTTTGGGCTAGTGACCATTTCACACTACTTTCTCGGACAGGAGTGGTTTTTAACCTCACTATTTTCCTCTGAATGTGAAACCAGATATTGTTTATCACCAAAGTATCTATCAATGATTGGGTTCTTTTTCCTCTGCTTGCTTATTTTGATTTTCAGCAGTTTATTATAATCAACTTTTAATCCCAAGTTCTGGGTAATGTTGCCCTAGGCCTCAAGTCCTGCTTACTGTTATTTTCTGAATTCTGTGGAAGGGCTCAACCTCAGGGTCTCTTTTCCTACCTTAAACCACAGTCCAGGTCTCCAGCCATTCTGCTCCCAAAACGTTCTTCCTCCCTGTGGTACTGCAGTCACCAGGTACGTGTTCAGTTCTCACAAACAACTACAACCCAAGATAACTTTTGGTCAGCTCTGCTAGAGCTAGCTTCAGGAAATGGCGGCCTGGGTGGGGGGACGGGACTAGGGTTGTTTTCAACCTTCCTACACTCAGCCATCTGCTGGTCCTTAGGCAAAAGTTTGAGGTGCAAGTTTGTGAGGTAAAATTTCAGCAGGCCTAGCTTGCTTCCTGATAGAGCTGATCCAGGGCCTCTTATTTGTTGATTCAGTGAAGTCGGATTGGAAATGACTACACTTCACTTACTCCCAGACTCAGCCCTTGGAGGGCCTCTCTTTTCTGAGGTCATCTCAAGTTTTCTCAGTAGAACAACTGCTTTACCCCTTTATTTCTGGTGCTCTCCATTCATTATTTTCTTCAACATTTTTTTGCATCTCATTTACCAAGCTGTTGATTCATTTTTCATGACTTTCTTGCTTCACTCGCATTTCTCCTCTACTTACTTGATTTTCAAAATCTTTTTAAAGCTCTTTCACCGCCAGACACCAATTAATATTTTTCTCATTGGCTTTGAATGTAGGAGCTTTAACTTTTTTTTCTTCTGAGTGTATGTTTTGATCTTCCTTGTCACCATGGTAATTTTCCATGGTCAGAATGGGGCTGCAACTCACTCCTGTGCTCCACTCCCACCAAGGTGCAACAGACCTTTCCTGCTGACCTTCTAACTTGTTTTTGGCATCTCTAGGCTGAAAGGTCTGGAAACCACCACTGCTGCCAGTTATTCAGTCGCCCCAAGGCCCACTTCCGCTTTGCTGGGACCTGACTGCACTGGTACAACCTCTCTAGGACTACACTACTCTCTCACCTTGCTGCAACAAACCTTTCCTGACAGCCTTATAAGTTGTCTTCTGCTGGAAAACTGTATCACTCTGACTTTTTGTGGATTTCACTGGTCTAGAATTTGTTTAGAAAAATTATTAAAGATATTGGGGGGGGGCTCAGGGGAGTTCTTGCCTTTTTTACATCGCCATCCTGGCTCCAGCTTACATTAAATTAAATTAAAAAGGTTTTGTATAAATGAAACAAATGTTGCCAAGATAACAGGGAAAGCAAAAAATTGCAAAAAATACTCTCTAGACGGCTCTCACATAAAGATCTTATATCTAAAAATACATAAAGAACTTTGTGAAATCTGTAATACAAATCATTCCTTAATTGATAAGCGGTCAAAGGATATGAACAGGCAGGTTTGTAACAAAGAAATCAAAACAATTTATAGTCATGTGAAAAAATGCTCTAAATCATAATCGATTAGAAAAATGAAAATTCAAACACCTTGAGATATCATTTTATACCTATCCGTGTGGCTGAAATGATAAACAGGGAAAGCAACAAACATTGGGAGGGGATGTGGAAAAATTTGGACACTAATTCATTCTTCATGGAATTGTCAACTGATCCAACTGTTTTGGACAGCAACTGGGAATTTTGACCAAAAAGCTATTAAACTATCTATACTCATTGATCCAGCAATACCAATACTAGATCCATTTCCAAAGATGACCAGGGAGAAAAGAAAAGAACTTACATGTTCTCAAATGTTTATACCACCTCTCTTTCTGGTGGCAAAGAACTGGAAACTGCAGGGATGCCCAACCACTAGGGAATGGCTGAACAAGTTCTGGTGTATGATTATGATGGATTTTTGGTGTAACATAAAAAAGTATGAGCTCAATGATCTTAGAAAGACTTACACAGAACCAAGGGAACATTGTATATACTAATAGCAATGTTGTTTTAAGAATGAATTTGAATAAGTTATTTTGATTACTGTAAATACCTAAATTAAGTATGAAGGAAAATATGAAGATATCTACATTCAGAGAAAGAACTGAAAATTAAAGAATGTATAGAATAATTTTACATATACATATGTACATATAGGGATACACACAAACACACATGCGCTCCTACTTGTGTCTAATGGTAGCCATAGTGGGGAGGAGGGAGGAAAAAAAATTCACATGGTAAGTTTGTAATACATTTAAAAGGAATAACAAGTTGAACGTAACAGATGTGCAATTTCATATGTAATTCATTTTTATTCTTTGTTGTGAAAGTGCTTGCTTTATCCCATGAATTATAAATAACACCAATAAATGTGAAAAGTGAGAAGAAACAGGAAAGACTGAGCACAGCAGCAGCAGTAATGATCAGCTGTGAAAGACTCAGCCACTCTGATGAATACAAAGACCCAGGAAAAGTTTAAAGGACCCATTATAAAAAAACAGAGAGAACTGATGAACTTTGAGTGAGGACTGAAGCTCGCTCTTTCTCACTTTCATTTTTCTTACTTTTTTTTTTGTACCAGGAGTAATATAGAACTGTTCTGCATTATCTTACAGCATAATGGCTATCCTATCTTTCCCTTCTCAAAGGGTGGGGGAAGGACTGGAAGGTGGGAAAGGATTTAGAACTCAAAATTAGAAAAAAACCCACAAAGTAATTGTAAGGTCTTTTTTCTTTTTTTTTCAGTGTGGAGAGGATGCAGTGGTGTCTGTGGTTATGATTCTCTGATGCCCACGATTTCTAGTGTTACAGCACAGGACAAAGAAACCTATCCCACGGTCTCTGGCCTCAGATGTTATTTGAGGAAAGCAGCAAGTGGCACTCACCTTCCCGGGCCTGGCTGTGTGGGCAGGAGCCATTCCCTCCTCCTCCAGGCTGTCCTCCTGGGGCAGAGCAGAGGCCACAGAAGGGAGAGCTGGGGAGGAAAGGAGAAGCAGGAGAGTGAGGGGTCACGCGGGGGTCTGCCCTGCTCAGACCAGACATTTCCACTGCTCCACTGATGGGAGATCGGGGAGGGGGACAGGGAGCTGGGGGCGAGACTGAAGAAGCATTAGAACCCGCCCCCAGGCTCCGCCTCCGCCTGGTCCGCCTCCAAGCCCCCGAACCCCCCCAAGCACTGGCCGCCCCCAGACCCCGGGGAGCCCCTCGGGGGCCTTCCTTCCTCCTCTGCCGGACGTTCCTCCCATTCTCCGTGAGCTCCCCAGCCAGCCCCCGGCGCTCCGACCCCGCCGCACCCCCGCACCGGCTCCGCCTGGGCCTGGCCAAGCTCTAAGCCCCGATCACCGGGTCACACTTCAGCCCAGAACAGAGAAGGGGAAGCGGGAACCAGCGAGAGTGCAACAGGCAGAGAGAAAAGCAAGCGGAACTGGCGTAGTAAGAAGGAAGTGCAGCCTCCCTCCTCTGGGGTTGGCAAAATGCCCCTGAAGCGAGCACGGCCTTCTGGGAATCGTAGCGTGATACGTGAGGCGCCTTCTGCGCATGCCTGGAGCTCGGCCTTTCCCCAACTTGGAATGTGTCCTGCCTCCCCGTTTCCCCGCCCCTCCCAGCCCTTCCTGCCAGCAGGCCCGCCCCCCGACTCCTCCCCTTACCTACTGCGTGGTCTTTACAACCGCAGAGCGCACAGGGAGTAACTAGACGTGCGCTCACAGACCTCGAGGGCTGCTCCATGGGTAGTCAAGGCCACAGTCTCTGCCACTCTGGCACCCAGTGACAACACGCCACGAATCCAATGAAAGGCTTGCTGTGCACCAGCATCCTGTCGCAGAAAGTGACGGAAACACGCAGGGAAGACAGGGCTCTGAGGAGGGAGACCACGGGCTGGGGCAGGATCCCCGCAGCGCTCGCTCAGCCCCCTGGGGCGTCCAGGAGGAGCAGGACACGAGTGGGCCCGGGGCAGCAGGAGAGGTGAAGGGGGCGCCGGCCAGGACGAGGCCGTGCTGGCTTTGTGTCTATTTCCTCTGCCAAGGAGGCTGACCCGAGGGAAACCAGGAGACGTGGAAAGCATTTGGCTGGGCCTGGGGAGTGCTAGTCGTCTGCTAGATGGGCTCAATAAAACTCAGAGCTAACATTTATTTGGTGCTTACCGTGTTCCAAGCCCGGCCAAGTACCTTATAATGACTATCTCATCCGGTCTTCACAAAATCCCTGGGAAGCAGGTGATGTTAAAGACCATTTTATAGATGTGGAACCTAGGGTGAAGTGACTTGCCCACGGTCACACAGCTAGCAAGTGTCTGAACTTGGATGTGAGCTCAGGTCTGGGAGAGGTAACAGCAGCAATGTGACAAGTTTAATTCATAACAGGACTTCATCACCAGAACGTGGTACCTGTCTGGTGCTTTTCTGAGTTCAGAGAGTACCTGGTCAAAGCAACGTCATAATTATATGATTTTGCAAGGGGGGTGAGATCACCCAGATTGTGAGGACAGAGGATCGTTGTTATGACAAGCTCAGGACACAGCTTACTTGGCCTTAGCGCTGGAAAACAGGGTGTCTAAGAAAATCTTGACAAGAGAATACTGACAAGCAATAATTTAGCCTGGTACCATCAGCCACCAACACAGCCTCCCAAGCTCCTTATCTATGGTGCTGCCATCCTGCATTCTGGAGTCCCTGTCTCTTCAGTGGCAGTGGGTCTGGGACAGACTATACTCTCCCAGTCATCACTGTAGAGGCTGAAGATGCTGGACTGCATTGCTATCACCATCATTACTGCTGGCCTGTCACAGTGATCCAGCCCTGAAAAAAAACCTCCTGGTGACATTTGGCTGCCTTAATACAGGGGCACAGCTGCTTAACCTTAGGTCAGAGCAGTGACTGCTGTCTTGTCAGGACTGAGCTCTGTTGCCCCACCCCCCCACTACCCCACTCATCCCAGGCCCCACATCATTCACACATTATATTCTCCCAACAAAGGCAGGGCAGAGAGCTGAGAATAATCCTGATAGAGATTTAGGGGAATGTGGGAGGGACATAAACAAGTTCGACAATTAATATTAATATTGCAAATACATCTAGAATTCTTCATTCTATCCCTCATGTGTACGTTGGAGAAGCAAAACTTTGGGTTTTACTAAGAATGACAAATACTGGCTCATTTTGATCCAAGCCTTACGCTCTTCAGGTACATCAGGCAGGTAGGTGGCACAGCCTGAAATCAGGAAGAATCCTTTTCTTGAGTTCAAATCTGGCCTCTGACACTTATTGCCTGTGTGACCCTGGGCAAGTCACAGAACTTGTTCTGCTTCATTTTCTTTATCCATGAAACGAAATGGAGAAAGAAATGGCCAACCACTCCAGTATCCCAGCCAAGAATACCCTAAATGGGGTCACAAAAGGGTCAGACACGACTGAAATGACTGAACAACAACCGACCTTGCATCCACGTCCTCATTCATTCACAGTCATTCAGGGTAAGTCACCAAGCATTTTTAAGCACCTTCTGTGTACCAGGCAGTGTGCTAAGTGGTTCAGGTACCACTTAGAAAGATATGGTAGACCTCTAGAGAAAATTGAGTGGGAATAGGAAGGAATATACCTGTTTCTTTGCCATATATGGCACCTACACAATTGACCATGTACTAGGGCATAAAAACCTCGCAATCCAATGCAGAAAGGCAGAATATTAAATGCATCCTTTTCAGATCATTATACAATAAAAATTACATGGAATAATGGGCCATGGAAATATAGAATAAAAATTTATAGGAAACTAAATAATCTTAGGATTAGATTTAGAATGAGTGGGTCAAGCAACAAATCACAGAAACTGTAACTTCATCTAAGAGAATGACAATAATGACACATCATAACTAAACTTAAGGGATACAGCAAAAGTGGTTCTTAGAGGAAATTTTACATCTCTAAATGCTTACATGAATGAAATAGAGAAAAAGGACATCAATGAATTAGGCATGCAACTTACAAAGTTAGAAAAAGAAGAAATTAAAAATCCCCAAATAAATACCAAATTAAAAATTCTGAAAATCAAAGGAGAGTTTAATAAAATTGAAATTAAGAAAACTTTGAGCTAACAAATAACACTCTGAGGTGGTTTTATGAAAAACCAATAAGATGGATGAAAGTTTGGTTAATTTGATTTAAAAAAAAAAAGAAAACCAAAGTACCAGTATCAAAAATGAAAAGTGTGAAAAATGGACAAATCAAAAAAGAACGAAACCATCAAAAGGTACTATGGTGACTATGGGAGCTCAACACAGAGACTCAGAAAAAGGTAATAACTAAAATATAAGCAAGCCCCCAAAATATGACTGTACAGAAATTCAACAAAATTTCCTAGAAGAGCCAAAGAAAAAGCAAGACAGTGATTTCAATAATCAGAGTCTAGAGCAAAAATTAGGAAAAGAAATGAGAGTAATGCAAGAAAATTATGAATGACAATTCACCACTTTGTAAATGAGGCACACAAAAAATACTGAAGACAATAACTCATTAAGATATCATAACTGTCTAAAAGGAAATGAAACACAAAACCTCACAGAAAAAAAAATAAGTTCTTAAAAATTTGAATTGGTCAGTTCAAAGCTAATTACTTTACAAGACATTAAGAAACAATAAAACGGGCAGCTAGGAGACATAGTGGATAGAGCACTAGCCCTGGATTCAAGAGGACCTGAGTTCAAATCCTGTCTCAGACACCAACACTTACTAGCTGTGTGACTTGGGCAAGTCACTTAACCCCATTGCCTAGCAGAAAATAAAAATACAAAAAATAATAAAACAAAGTCAGATAACTGAAAATATAGATGAAAATGTCCAATATCTCATAGGAAAAAAAATGACCTGGAAAGTAGAGTGAGGAGAGATCATTTAGGAACTATTGAACTACCTGATCAAGAAAAGAGTCTAAACATCATTTTTTCCCCAGAAATTATAAAGGAAAACTGCCCAAATATTGTAGAATTAGAGGAAAGTTGAAATGGAAAGAAACTACCAATCACCTACTGAAAAAGACCTGAAAATGAAAACTTCCAGGCATTTTCTAGCCAAAACCCAGGTCTCTCAGGTATAGTGACTAAAATTATGCAACGTATAATAAGAGAGACTAAGGCAGAGCTCTGAGGCAATGTGAGTTTATTAAAAGGTCCACGTGATGAATGTGAACTTCAGATCTTCCTCACGATCTGAGATACCTCCTCCCATATTTTTATAGGGTTAGATATTTAAACATTCGAGAGCAGCTGTACCAAATACAGAATAATTGCATTGGTAAACATTTGATGCCTAGACTAAAATAAGCAAAACAACACATCAGGGTCACAGGAAAGGTAGGAAATGTTTTCGCTGACTAGGTGGTCCTAAGACAGACACCTGCTGTTGCTGGAAAAGACAGAATGGTCCGGAGCTACAAAAATAGTTGGGGGACTTTCCATGTAGTTGAGCCACATCCATCACACTGGACTTGTTACCATAACAAGGAAAAACAAAGGTGGAGGGCCTCTAGCCTAAGCTTGCTATGATTATGCAAGTGATTATTATGTAATTATTAGCTCTGGGGACAAATATACAGAATTTATAATCATATCAAATTGATTGATACTGATTGGAATAGAATAGGAGTCTTCAATGAATCAACTTCCTCACAGCTCAGGATCGCACAAGATATCATATAATCAAGGGATATACGGTTTGGAATATGATATTTTATAACGCAAAGTAAGTAGGATTGCAACTTAGAATAATCTACTTAGCAAAATGGGTATAATTATACAGGATGGGGAAGTGACATTTAATGAAAGAGGACTTTTGAAAATTTTTATTTTTTTCTCAATTCCATGTGAAAACAATTTTTAATACTTCTTTTTCAAAATTTTGAGCTCCAAATTCCTTCCCTTTACTCCCCACTCCTTGACAAGGCAAGCAATTTGAGGGACATTATATCTCTGTCATCATGTGA